ACATGGCGCGAAAATATGTTTCCTTCCCCTTTGACGTTCTTGTGGTATGACATGACAACCGCAGTTGATTTATTTTTATTACAATACAAATATTATATCTGTGAAACAGTTCCCGTGTAAGAAAAAACACTGTTAAGAAAATAAATGACATTTCCGTCAATTTAACTTTAGTTGATGTTTAAATGGCACAGTACATAAATCCGGTAAATAAATTATATTACGTCAATACACGTAACACAGGAATAAGACAAATGAATCAGAAGTTTCAAAATATGTCAGTTCCGAGGTCTTCATTAAAATAGTTGGAGAATTTTACGAATATTTTAATGCTATAGTTAGGTTAGGAAGTACAGAGCGTTCATTATAATCAGATATTAAAATAGTAAGACGGAATTATTAATGTTTACAGTTTTGATCCTTTTAACCTTTATAAAGAGACAAATTAGGTACCTACTTTATTTCTGATTTAATGAGCGGAGATGCTGAATAAATTATTACATGGATAGATACAGTAAAGTAACTACGCTACTTAGATCTTTACCAATTTACTATTACGCGATTTATAGATTACCTGACGGAGTAAGCGCATAAAATGGCTGTCTTTATTGGCCATACTACTCAGCGAAAGATAAAATTTACCATAAAACTCAAGAAGTAATTAATTTTAAACAAACGTAATTGAGAAGTACCAACCGACAAAGAGTATTATTTTGTGTAATCCACGTTTATCGCGAACTGTCCCGATAGTACAATTAAGATAAAATCTCAATAATTTATTCGCTAAAGCCCAAATCGGTTTTTGCATGTGTTATCTGTGGTTGATGTTTGCAACGAAATAAAATGCAACCTTTATTAGTATGGGAAATGTGGAGAATATTCAATAGCTTTGATATTATTTTAATGGGAAGATTCAATTATAATAAGTGTGGGAGAACCATGCTTCGGCACGAATGCGCCGGCTCCACCGGAGCGATACCACGGCCTCACAGAAAACCGACGTGAAACAACGCTTGCGTTGTGTTTCGTCCTGTGAGTGAGGTTACCGGAGGCCCAATTACCCACCTACCCAGTCTCCGCAAAAGGCCGGTACCGCACTTGTAACGCCTCTGGTGTTTCAGGTGTCTATGGGCGGCGCCTATTGCTTACCATCAGATGATCCGTCTGCTCGTTTACCGGCTAATCCCATAAAAAAGCAGAGCATACGTTGCTTTTCAGTGATAGCTTCAATCACTTTTATTTAACACACGTTAATAAGCACAAAACTTCAGTCAAACTTTATAATTAGGTAAACTACAGATAGTGATAATAATAATAAAAATAAACGTAGTAGAGAATTTATATCTGCTATGAAATGATTAAGAGTGTTTTATTACAAAATTAGGAAGTAAAAAAAACATTCCTGCGCCATGATAGGCATGCCAGGGCCACGAAGAATCAAAGAAGCGCCAATTTGCAATCCATTAAAATAATTAAATGAGTAACATTCCAAAAAATTAGCTTTTAAAAATATTCGAGTCGAATTCTCGAGAATATTTAATTCAATTTAAATAAAGAACGATTGGTAACATCAGTTTTAAATATCGAATGCACATTTTTTGCGCGCGGTTGGCAGGCCAGTGCCACGACTGGCGCGCCGTGGACCGGTCCAGTGGAACGGCGACAGGTCGGCACCTGCCTCGCGCGTGGAATGTCCGGTCGCGAATTAAAAACCTTTGAGATACTCTTATTTAGTTGCGGACAATGACGATTTTCCGGATTACAGCTAATTACCGAGAGTTTTTATCTTTTCCATTAAACGTGTATCGCATTTTAATGAGCACCGCAACCAATTAAAGAAATGAACCTCCTACTTTGTCGTTGGTAATAGGGGGATTAATGTCATCTCTTCATTGTAGAAATCCTATAGATGATCAGTCTACAGAATTTAGACGTTTCTAAATACCTTTTTCAAAGAAGTTTCTTTAGCTTTTTCATATCAAGACCAAGACATACTAACTACGCCGAAATAAAAACTCTTCAATTCAAATCAATTGTTCTGAATAAATTAGTTGTTACAAGCGTTGGGCAATTTAGTCAAAGGCCCTAATGCATCGCAAGGTCTCCAGACCCATAAACTATTTGATTATGTCCGCCCATTACCCAAGAACTACTAAGGTTGAACTAGCAGGAAGGACTTTATACTTAAATTCTTCAGTGGCGCCATCTGATGTCGACAAAAATAATTTGTAATTGAATGAAGTTCATAGGCAAAGAATTTAAAGTTAATGAACTGTTTACTCGCAAATATATTAGGAAGATTGGTTTCCAAGGTCTATTTGAGCAACGAATAGTTATTCTATTCAATCACAATTGAAATGTATTCGTTCAAATCGATTGAAACCCTATTGCTACTTGCAATAAGTCACGTATCTCTCTTTAAATACATCGTCTATTACTTGGTAACAACATTATTTTTGCCTGCACCCAGCATCTACACGTGTACTATTTTTTAGGCATGACAACAGGAGACTAAAAAAAATTACGAAGTGATGATGAAATCGAGTGACTAACAAAATATTTTAGTACAACCAAACAATGCCTATCTATTCGATTTTTTGCGCAGATTCATCAAAAATATTATGATTATATGTGATATTATACTTGACCTTTTGACTTTACTCAAATCAGCGGAGTAATATTATTGCGTTTTTACTCATTCCCAATTGAATTGAATAGAACACAATTCCATAAGTTTTTGGATAAGAGGTGTCATATCCAACATCAGTCCGTGACATAGAAACGTGCAGCTGTTTAACATAATTATTGTAGTAAAATTGTATGTAGATGTATAAATAAAAGTAGCACATGAACGGATTTGCGAGCGAATACTATAAAATAAATAAAATACCACGTGGTTTGGACATGCAGTGCGCTTACCGCTTACGTCATATTCGACCTCCATAACTCCATAGTTTCGGCGGCATGCTTTGGTCATCGTCTAACACAATTTAACGATCTATAATATTCTATTCATGTCTTCCCGATATCCTGCGGGGTTATGGGACGATGCAAAACATGCCACTTTTATAAGTCAGCGTTTATATTTGCATCCCAAAATTTAATAAGGACATTAGATAAACTCGTTTATCACAAAAACCTTATATATAAAGCATTCACTCTCAATCATTTTCTCGAAGAAGACCGTCCCTTAAAAATAAACGATTCAAATTCAATATCATTGATAAAGGAGATCTCAAATCAAATCGAAAATATTAACAAATAATAAAAATCTACAAAAACTTAATACGCGGCATCCTGTTTCCCCTATCCGAGCCTAATTACAGAATAAGAGGTTATGGAACGCGACATAAAAGGTCTGACATTCCCTGTGACTGATGGAGCACCATTCAACCAGTTTGATTGAAAGGGTACACTGTGAAAGCCCGAATAATGTCGGGCATAATGGGATTTCTTCTTCAGGTATGTGCTAATTCGCCAACAGGGTACGTTTTAACGATTTATTTTGTCTTTTAAACTGGTAATTTGTATGTGTATGTACTTGCCGCACGTGATTTACATTATACATACAGAAATATATGGCTGTAATTAATTTGAATAAAGTATACGTTTATGACAAACATAAATATTGAGCATCTCGGCACATTCACCAAAACGTTGACGCTGTTATGTTTTTTTTTTAAGTGTATAGAAACTATTTTTATCACAAAATGTTTGAAACAAAATTTTCCCGGTGAAGTAACTGATAAATTAGTAATCACTGTACGGACTGTAATCAATAAGGCTAAAGCCAGCTCGTGGGTTGTCGACCTTACACCCGTGTTTACTCAATGCTCAGTCGGCTTGTCAACCAGTCCTCCCACTGGACAATTTTGTATGTCATTCCAAACATTCAGATAGGTGAGAGTTCCTCGGTAGCTTTCTAAGGGAAATAAAAAAGCGACCGTTTCAATTCCCTCTGCTTACTTTACGAGCTTAATAGATTTTGTTCATTGCAAATTGAAATTATTTGAAGCACTTATTTTGAATTGAAGGCACACATAAAGAGTTTTTGGCGATTTCGTAATACAAATATTTACTTATTGAAACATTTCTTATGATTTATATTTTATTTTTTTTATGTTTCCGTAAAAATACAAGAGCTTTCATGACTTAATGATTATACTTGAGCCGCTCGTAAATATCAAAGATTTATATCATGATTCTTAATTGGTCATAAATTATTAAACTGCCTTTTACAATACGTATTTGTTTTCCAATTACATAACTTTATATAATTTTGTTGCATTTGAAGGGTTTACTTTAATAAGTCAATAAAAAGTCCAAGTTAGATACTTTAGTTCGTAGGACTTTCCCGCAGTCGGTGTTCGTTATCTTTAACTCCTGTGACAGTTTTGATAGATAGGTTACTTTATAAAATAAGTACCTAACCAAACAGGATACCCCAACCCATGATAACGATGTCCATCCTTATATTGCTTATGACATTCTACAGAGCGGCGAAGGTATATTTATTTAAGGAAATAAGAGGCTACTGACCTTAATCTCACTGAGATTCCCTGTACCCAGAATATTTTATACTCTTTTTATTCTTTACAAGATGAAGTAACATTCTCTGACGTCAGTTATATTTTGAGTGATGCAGTTTATTATTTCTGTTCTTTTATTTACGATCCGATGCTTCAACCTTAAACAAGGATTATTTGGCACAGACACTAGCTCACGTTAGCACGAACGCAGAGAAATCCAAGATGATGAATGACATAAAGTGAAAATATGATGAAAATGATTGGCATCCTAAATTAATTGTCATCTTTTCTGCACCTAAGTGAAACATCTAACTCGCTTTCAAATTCCTTTAGGATTTGAATATCTAAATCATAGATAGGTCTTGTAGAAGTGCCGGTAGTTGTCGCGACAAGTCTCCGTTAGAAGTCCCGGCGATCGAGTATTGCATGCTAAACAACCGGCAACCTATGCAAAATACTTTGTATAACCTGATACTACGGCGATGCCGGACGATCTATCAGACAGTAAGCCTTATTGGGAAACCTGGCGTCAACCTGCGCTCTTAAAACGAAGTCTATCTTAATAGCAAGAACTCGTATCGCCTGATCTTGCCGCTTCCATTGAATTACCATTGGCGACGAATAAAATTTGCCTATAAATGATTATACTGTGGCGAATTATAATTATATTTAATAAGTTTGCATAGGCCAGAGTTGTTAAAGCTTATTCCTGATCGTTTATGACTGCACAAACACCAATTAGGCCGATATCGGGCTGTAGTAGTTTCACGGGTAATGCGCTGGGTGTGGCGCAGTGGTTCATTAATAATATATTAATTTACTACACAGAATGGGATGGCTTAAACTTCAAAGCACTTGGCGGAAAATGCTCTCGCCGGTTAGAGGTGTGCGTGGTGGAAACTCATTAAATCAAACAATGTGTTATTATTTGCGCTCGCTGAATGGTTAGCTGGTTTGAGTTGTTACAATAATTATCATTTGGATGTTTAAATCGGTAGCTTTACGTGTTAACGACATTCGTGGGAAGGCACCAAAGAAATGCTCGTGCCAAATACCGTGTCCGTGACTGTAAATTTTCACGGAATAATTCGTCGGCGATTATTCCAAAGAGTGCGGACGATCAACATGCTTTCGAATGCCAAAAAAGGAAGATGTAATGACTGAATGGTGCCGTCGAGCCGGTCCAACCATAAAGCATTTTTGGAAACGTAATCGATGTCTCGATATCTTGAGCCGTCCTCATAAAATATTATTTCTTAAATTCAATGCCATAATATTTCCTTAATCTCACAAGTCATATTGTTTATTAATTTGATTGAAGCGGTAACTTCAAAGTAACTGTATTCATTAAAATGCATGTTTAATTATCACCGAAATCAATTGACAACAGATATCAGTAAAACCCACAAGTCACATTATAAAAGAAGCTTTGTGTAAGTAGCTTTGGTAAATAAAGCTTTCATAAATCCGAATAATCGTCTGAAAACCATGTCAAATCGCTTTTGAACCTTCCGCAGCGTATTCGCCCACGCTGATTCCGCGTGCCATTACCTGCTTACTTGCAGCCTGGCTTTTAACTTAAATGTTTTCTGCCATTGACATCGTATTCGTTCGAATTGGAACTCTATCACTGTCACTTTAAGATGCGATATTCTCCTGAGATCTTCATATTTGAGCTAAAGTTTGCTTCGCAGAAATGGTCATATTGTAACGCGTGTTGCAATGTAAGCATTTGTCAACTCCGCCTACTGTATCAACCACCTACACATTACAAATTGTTTTGGAAGATGTTTACTCTGGTAGACGATTACGGTTTCCCCAAGGTTGAATTCGCGTTAATGTAAAATTAAACATCATTAGATCTTTTGATTATGTTAATATTTACTAACGTCATATGCAACTGCTTTATATACCTACTACTTAGTTCGTGATTGAGGATTCCAACAGTTATGCACTTGCCTATTTTGTTACGCATCATTACATAAGATACTAATAACTACATTCACTTGTCTAGTTTTAATGATGTCCATGTAGACATAAGTCCTACCTATACCATATATTATATACGTAAGAAAGAAGATATGCTTCTACTTTTTCAGCACACAAATGATACTGTGTTGCCTTTTACGTATGTATATTATGTAGCCTCATTAAAAACGCAATGAACACAAAGTTAAATTAGTCGGCTGCAGAAATTTCTTGGATTATTGCCTTGTAAAAAAAGTTGCTAACTTGTCCTGACCTGTTCCTGATCAGGTAAAAATGAGTTCAACGCAAAAGGATTTTAAGTCTTTATTCTTTAAACAACATAACAATAGCTTCTGTTCCTCGGTGTTCCTCTTTCTTTTCATTACGGTACGGTGTGTTAACAAAAAGTTTAGAATGGTGTAATTAGGTACCCAAATTCGTGTAAAAATTTGCGTATTCTTTTGCCTTATTTAATCTTTTAGGGCCATATTTAAATAGCATTATCTAGATATTTACTTTTTTCAGGTAGATGCCGCTTTGTGCTTTAAGTACTTCCGAGCTTTGCTATCTTTTCACATCTTCACAAAATTCGTTCGGTAAAAGCCGCAAATGCAGTTACAGTAAGGCACATTTAACTTTTTTAAGTAACGTGAATAAGACACATCTAGACTAGAGCTAGATTGACTCTTGACTTTCTGCAGTTTTCAAGTCAGCCAAAAATGTGTTTTGCATCTTCTACCAATCATTCGGGGAAAAACAGGCTGAATATTGTTTACGATAATCAAAAAGTAATTTATGACTTATAAATAAAAATTAACAACTATTCATTTTATCGCAGATCCAGATTACAACAGAAGTTTATCAATCTGTGTAACACCTATATTTACGTTTACAATTCCGTTTCGAAGGTGGGGAAATCTTGGTCGTAGCTTCACGGAAGGTACTTGCTCACATAAGATATAAGTACCTAATCGTGGTTATCACTTCATTGTTGTGATAACGCGAACTGATAGACTACACATGTTTTGCTTTGTCAATTTATTTTCGGACGCTGAGCTCTTGAGAAGTGTTATTGCGATTAAGTGTGTTATTTAACCTATAAAGTAAATAGATTTCATTTTAATTCAAGTATACTTTTGTCTATTCTACAATATTCTACCAAGCCGACATACTAGATGGAAATGTTTGAAGAGGTAAATACTGAAGTTCTACAAACTTAGGTAACTATGTACTAAGATGGTGCCCAGCTTTATGAATTCTGGTTTGTTATGACATAAAGCAATATAATCAAACAACGTATCAAGCATTATCGTTTATCATTATCACATTCAGCTGTGAAATAGCGCGTGATTCTCACCTGAGTTCGGCTGAGCTTGTAGGTCTACCGCCGTCAACATTCCATTCTTTTCAAAGATGGTTTTCACATTTGCACAAGTTCCTTCGGGCTCAGCGGCGGAAGCCACGGCCAATAAACAAGAACCCAACAGTAAATACAGTATTTGGCTCCGCATTCTCAATCCGAAAATCGATTTTTTGTTAGGCGACAGTTTATCACAACAACACTCTTTCACAGACATGTTCGCTAACGAATGTATTTAGTAGTGTGAAACGGGATACACTTTTATAAATGGTTCATAAATTTAAATACAAGTTAAATATTTTTAATTTAAACTTAAATTGTGGTACTACACACGCCATACGCACGACTCGCGACGATTCAACTGCGAACCATGATGGTCGCAGCTCAACTGCACTGGCCGACTGAAGTGAGCCGAAAGCGGACCACTGGCAAAGCGGCGGTGGTATTGCCAGTATCACAATATTAATTATCAATTTTGATAACGTTTGATAAAAATCGTCATTACACGTTAATTAATTGAGGTTTTTTAATCTTTCCAATTTGTAGTGAAACTTTTTAATAAACTATTATTTTGTTTTGTAATTAATTAGCGACATACAATTTTCTTTTGTAAGCTAGCAATATTTTGAGACAACTTCTATTGGTCACATATTAAGAATCCATGGTGATATTCACCAATAGAAGAAAACTGTCTTTCTTAGTCGCTCCTACTATTGGCTAAAAGATAATGCATCTTTGACGTATATTGATGTCAGTCATCAATGTCAAAAGTCTAATGTCAATTTGGGCAATCAAATCAAAATAGACGAAATGTTATTCAATCGCTGAACACACGTTTGTTTATAACTTTGTTTAGAAAATTAATCAATATTTTAAATTAAGTGAAAGTTGAATTAGTCATTGTATTAAAGTGTTTGATAGTTTACTGAAAGAAGTAATCGAGATATATATTATTGTTAATTTTACATAACCGGTAACCATGAGGGTTTATTTGTTAAAAAGTGTGTCACGAGTGATAGGCGCGAGATTTTATTCGACGCCTAATTATAAAAAAGTTACACATTGCATTTTCGACATGGATGGACTTCTGCTTGGTGAGTAGAATGCGACCTTCGTGCCAATAGTCAATGTTATTGAATCGCAAGGTTACATACGCGGTCATACTTTTACATAATAAATTAATAACAAATCAACTACACTACTAATGTATTCATTACTATGTAAATATCGTGGTTTATGTAATACAGTCTGCAATATATCGATACTTAGTAATTAGGTAATTCATTTTATTTCGCCGAAATCCAAAGTTTATTGTAAAATGTTCGGTTTTATTAAGAAACTCCTTATGGAAATATAAAAAATGTAAATTTAACCTACTTTTGTTGCTAACTGTACCTTCGAAATTATTAGCTCATATTATTATAATTTGATAAAATTGATTTCACAATTTATTAGCTCTTAGTTATAACAAGTTCTATATTAACACATTCAACTAGTATAATTTTACCTAACTGCCATGTTATATTTTTATTTTTATTACACCAAGACGGTTAATCAATTTAAAAAGACCAGGGGATAAGGTTCCGATGTTAAGCAACAGATAACAATTTTACTAATTTATTTGTTGTTTTTTAGTATCTGTTGTTAGTTCTTATTTCAAAAACTAGTAGCAAAAAAAGAAAACAACATATTGACCAGTTAAGATACCATATTGTCTAATTTATGAGTAATAAAAAAACAAAATATTCTAACAAATAGTTAAGACTTTGACTGCCAATAAAAAACTGTTGAAGGCAAATCCTCCACTAACGCCGGTCACCGATGACCCCCATGGCGTTTAACGTGTTAATATATACAGTTTACCAGGCATTGTTGTCTAGACCCTCACTAAATACATATTACAATTGTGTAAGAATGAGATCATAAACATTGAACAATCTATCTCTGACATAACTTGTGAATAAATTATCATACTAAATTACTTTGCATGTGATAAAAATGTATGAAATTCTATTTCAGGAATTAATGAGGTACTTTGTTCATAATTTTAACTGTAAGATAAGTTTGTAATACGGTAGTTGACAACTAGTCAAATTCAATACTTTTGTTAAAAACAATACTGTTCTATGAATTTTGTACGAAATACCATCTTATGACGTCATCATATTTTCGCGTCAAATACACACTTATAAGTATCTAAAAACAATGCTAGAATAAATCGAAAATTAAGTATAACAGCAAATGAATGAATGAAAGTGTAACTATTTTTCAATATTTAATTGGACTGAAAAATCAAATATTTTATTTTTGAGCCAGGAAACTACCCAATTGTGACTTTTTATATATTTTAAATAGCTACAGGTATTGAATAAAATAGTGGCTACATTATGCCTATAGTTTTCTTTAGTAAGCCTTTATCCAGTTTCTCAATTCAGCAGTATAAAATAATACTTGCAATGCAAATGAAAATTAAATGTTTCAAGTTCTACATAGATCTGTAATAAATGATGTAATTATATGTGATGATCTCACTCTGTAAAATGAAAAGGTACACGTTAAAAAAGCCCTACATATTTAACTACTGGCCCAAAATAAAACACTCACACATTGGAGTCCAAAACGAACTGTATGGACCACTACACAGTTCGGTTTCAGAGGAATTTCGTCCCGATCATGGTCTCATGGAATGAATTCCCTACCATGTGGTTTCCCCAGTAGGCTATTACATGGGGTTCCTAAAAAATTGAGCAAATAGGCTTTTCAAGGGTTGGCCAGGTGCATGTAATGCCCCAAGTGTTGCAACCGTACATAGGCCACGGTAACGGCTTACAATCAGGTGGGCTGTGTGGTTTTTTGGCACCGTTGTGGTATAAAAAAAAAACATACAATAAAAACTAAGGAGGTTGCATTTTATTTTTCAGACACGGAACTAGTATACAAGAAAATGATAACACAGTTATGTGCAAACTATGGCCACAAATACACAGATGAGTTGATGATGAAGATACTAGGTGGGACGGAGCAGAGACTATCAGAGATTCTGTGCAAAGAACTGAAGTTACCGATCACACCCACAGAGTTTAGAGACCAGTTGCTCGTTCTAGGAGATACTATGTTGGCTGGAGCACCTTTGTTAGATGGTAAGTTAATTTGCAAAGGCAATAATTTTTGTTTAAACTTTGCCCCACATTAAGATTTTCTCCTGTGTCGGGTGCGTTTACAAATATACAAGTTGACATACACATGACACCCAGACCCGGAACAACAATTTGTGGATTACATAGAGTTGCTCCGTGTGGGAATCGAACCCGCAACACGTGAACCCGCAACACGCGCGGCAGCCGGTTGCCCAACCGTGAGATCATCTTCAAAATTAAAATTGTGGAAAGAGGTTCTCATTGAAATGAAGAAGACAGATCTTGAGGATCCAAATAAACAGATAATAATGATAAACAAGTAGTAGTTTCTACCTAATGTTTATAACATTATTTGTAAAAATAATGTTTTATGTGTGTATTATATGTGTAAAAATAAATTTATAACATTATTTGTAAAAATAATGTTATAGTTTTGATAAAATACAGGAAATGTATTGCAAATAATAAAAAGCAATACATTGCAATACTTGGCATCACTCCACATTTATTTGTTACGAAGTTCATGTCCAAGGTTCAGACAATTTAAATTAGAATTGATAACAATGAGTTACATAATCGTTTACTAGGATGACTAGCGTCTTATAATATTTAGTTGTCTAGAGTAGACTCCCTAAACATAGCACATTTTTAAAGATACACCAAAATACATGATAGATAAAGATAAAGATATATTTATTTGTATAAACATGTGTGGGTAACATTATACATGTCAATGCAAATGCAGATGATAAAGTGAACACTGTAACGTCTCAACATGTTTTGCCACAATTGGCGTACAAAATAATTATAAATTTATATAAACTATTAAAGAGACAACTAAAGTTAAAACATATGAAACATGAACTTATAAATTATCATTTTTAGCATATTTTAACATTGTATAGTGTAGCCTTAATTAAAGGCTGCCACAACATGCATTAAACAAAGAAAAGGATGCTACAGCAAAAAGTTCAATTACCAAAAAAAAAAAAACTTTTACATGTCAATATTATAAAACTAAACTAGATGAGTTTAGTGTCTCTTATATGACTAATTACTCGAAGAGATATATGTGTATAACCAACTTGCCAAAATGAAAGGGTATTTTTTTTTTTTTTTTTTTTTAGGGGGAAAATCATCGAATGACTGCTCCCGCCTGGGTGAGGCGGAAGGGAGTGTCAGACTCTTACTGACTAAAAACCACCCCGTTCCTTCTCCTGCACGTCGAGCCGGAGCCCCGGTTACCCGTTAGGTTCTCCGCGACTCCGAATCGGCATCGGCCCTATTGGGCCCCATCTGTGGTGGTCTGATGGCTCTTTGAGGCGCGCGCGGAACGCGAAAAATGAAAGGGTATAGCCTGGGTGTCTTCAAGGCCCGAGTGAATAGGTTGCCTATGCGTCGACGTGCTCCATCGTAGACCGCATCATCGCTTACCACCAGAGGAGATAGTGGTCAAACGTCGGCCCATCAAATATATAAAAAAAAGTTATGCTAGCTTAAAGCTATGTCTAGAACATCAAAGCAAAATACAATTTACCCTGAAATTATATTTTTTCTCTCATATATATTAAAAGATAACATACAGATATTTGCTCACAATGATATAATATCTTTTGATTATTTAGACAGTATTCTCTAAAGTAGATAACGTTATCTTGTGGGCTACCGTTGAATGCACTATCGATAAAATAGTTCTCATACAAATTATTATTGTAAGTTTGTAAGAAAATGAAACAGACTTGTAGTTATTGCATACATACAATATACATACATACATAACTTCATGTCTTTCTCCCATAGGGGTAGGCAGAGACTATGGAACGCGAATTGCTATGATTCCTAGATTCCCACATACCTCTTTCGCAGTTTTTTAGTTATGGGTTTTTTATAATACTGATATTAACCCCTCGAGCGTCCTTATGAGCACCCGGTGGATCATAAGAAAAAATGCTCCATGTTGCTTTCTCTTTTATAAAATATATTATTAATGTTTTGTTTTTATTTTCACTGTATTTGTTTTATATCTATTGTAATTTCGTGTGCCAATGGCCAAATAAATGCATTTTCTTTCTTTCTTTCTCCAAATGTCACGTGTGCACCCGTTGGATCATAAGGAACGCGGACGCTCGACGGGTTAATGAAAAGAAATCTATCGAAATCGAAATTACATGAAATCAAACTTAAGCCACCCAAAACAGTAACCAACCACTTCAAATCGACAAATACAACAATGCTATACCTACCCAACTTGCGAATTGAAACTATCACCCTCACAATCAATGCTAGCACTCAAAAAACCTTTCAAAGTGTATCTAGACCAACTTAAATAAACGTTTGGGATGGTAACTCGACTAGTTCATAGCTTACCTCTCGCGCCGCATCATTCATGCTGCTCATGATTATAGGCCCCTGATTTTCTTGAAACCAATCGAGCAACCTCGAACAGTTACGCAAGTAAGCCATGTATGGCAATTTAATGTCTTACGATACTTCTATTATAATAAAAATATAAAAATAAAAAAGCCTTTTATTTCCTGCATTAGAATACACTTTTTAATGGTATGGGAAAATAAAAGTAAAAAAAAAAATTAAAATTTTTAGTGTTTGCATCCTTTGTGAATTTCATGTGAAGGTGAAGGCCTCCTCTAAAGAATTCCAATTATCTCTGTCTTGCGCTATTTGCGGCCAATTAGGTCCAGCTATTTCTAATTTCGTCTGCACATCTCGTGATGCCTTGGCGACGCTTGCCGTGTGGACCTTTCCAGTTTGTTACCCTGCGCCCTGCCAGTCCACCTGTCGTCGTCTAACCTTGCTATGTGCCCTGCCCACTACTTCTATTAGCAGCTTTAATCCCCTTAATATATATTTTTTTTTGTTAAAGTCAGCTTAATCTCCATTTACAGGTGCAGAAAGGTTAATACGACATCTCCACGCAACCAAAGTTCCCTTCGCCTTAGCAACTTCTTCCAGCGCTCGATCAGTGGAGACCAAAATAGCTCAATACAAAGAACTGTTCTCTTATTTCCATCATATGGTGATGGGGAGTACGGATAAGGAAGTGAAGTATGGGAAACCACACCCTGATATATTTCTGGTGGCCGCTGCCAGGTTCCCTGATAAACCTCATCCGTCTAAGGTATGTTGTGAGGATTTCTTGATACCTATCCGTATTTGTTATTCGTGTATCGTGGTGGCCCGGAGGTTTAAGATGCCCGCTTCTCATGCATGAAGGTGCGGGTTCGAAACCTACCAACAGCAAGTACCAATGTGACTTTTTCCGAGTTATATGTACTTTCTAAGATTATTTAGACACCACTAACAAACGGTGAAGGAAAAACATCGTGAGGAAACCTGGGCTTATAATTTTTAATTATAAGTTTGAAATCACCAACCCGCATTGAGCAAGCGTGGTGATTAATGCTCTAACCTTTTCCGTGTGAGAAGAGGCTTTGCCCAGCAGTGGGCATTTATAGGCTGTTGATGATTGATGATGATCCGTATTTGTTTAGATTAATTTGTTGAAGATATTTTATTGAAAGAGTAATAGAGTATCGACTGCCTCGTTATTGTTCGAATTGAGATAAATTTCACTGCAATGCATGAGATTCTGGCTGGATTACCAAATTGAGAAAAGTACTCATAACATAACATAACATCACTCCTTTTATCGCTGAAGGGGTAGGCAGAGGTGCACATTATGCCACTGTACAATGTAACACTCACTTTTCACTATTTATATTATGAGTCCCATGTAATAGGGGGTGAGCTTATTGCCATATACCGGGCTCAATTCCAGACTCCGTGCTACATCTGAGATTTTTTTTAAAACCTAGTAATATTTTGAACCACCCGGGAATCAAACCCGAGACCCCTAGCCCGGCAGTCGCACTTGCGACCACTCGGCCAACGAGGCAGTCGAGCAAAAGTACATATTAATAGGTTTTCAAAAATATCTCTCAATTAATACGTAGCTTGGAAATGCAAGTAACATCATTCATGAGGATTAGAGGTAGCTTAAATCGGTAATGTAGGTACAGACATACAACTATTCCGCAAAACCACCTCATTAAATCTTAAACTTTAAAATAACAGAATAAAATTGAAAATCAAATAAAGTTTTAACAGGTACATAGGTGTACTTTGTACCTACTCTAAATATTAAATTTCAGCAGCCTATAACATTCAGTATGCGACTTCGTTTGAAGTCGGTACTAGTTTCATAACAGTGACTGTTTACATTTCTACCGGCTACGCCCACCAACACCACATCCTCAATAGAACTACTTTTAGCACATTGCAACTAGCGTAGGTAGGTAGGCGATTCGTCTGGTTAAAAAAATAGCAATAAATTACTTTTCACTGGCAGGCGACGCAGCAGTAACAAATTTTTACAGTCATTGAGTTTTGAATTATGCTTAGATACTATCTGTTGAGTAGGTACCTATTGTTTGATTGTTTAATGCATAATAGCTGGCTTGTTAGCTATAATTAAATGATCTCTAAAGTTGTTAAGGGGGCGTCCATAAATTACTTGAGGTGTGTTTTTTTTCTGGCTGATCCCCCCTGGTGAGATTTTATTCAACACCCTCCCCCCATCCCCCAATCTCACGTGAGATTTTTCAAAATGTTGGTTTTTCACGTAAACGCGTTGGATTTTTGTTGTAAAAAGAATAATATAACAACAAATGGCTATAGGCTATAAAACATCACGCTACGACCAATAGGAGCTGAGCAGAGCGTGTGAAATCGCGCGAAAGTAGCTAGTTTCATATAATTATAGAAATGTTAAATAGATGTAAACGTATCAACTTAGACAATGTATTAAATTAACTCAATAATTTTGCATGCTGTAAAGCAAAATGTACCGGGACTCTCCATAAGTTATAAAACAACATATTTGTTACCTACATTTTTGGCAAATATATTATTTCTGAAGAACATATTTCTAAGTAGGTAGGTATATGCAAAACTAACTTACGCATCAAAATCACTTAAACTGTCAAACACCAAGCGGTCACCGGTGACCGCGACCTATTGTTCTTTAATTGTGTCTATAAAACCGGTACTCGACGTGTTAAAATCCTATTTCATACATCCAATTCAAATATTAGTGAGTAGAAAATTATGTCTACTGCCACCAAATACATTAAAGTCGAAAATCCCAAATTAACAATACAAACGAAACAGTTTACTTGACTGCACCATTAATCTAATCTTAGCCAGTGTTAGCGTGTTATTGAGAAAAACGTGCAATGCGAATTAGAGACATAAATCACTTGATTGAGTTCAAGGAGATGCTGCAATAGACTAAACTGGTCAAATTGATGGAATCTTGCTCTCTTGTTATGTTCTAGTTTGTAATTCAAACTATTAATGCCTTGGCCAGTTCGCGAAATTTCAGATTTTCAAAATTGCAGCCAAATTTCGAAACAAGTACGTGTTTGAAGCTCTGATTGGTTGGTATATTGGCGCCGGCCAATCAGAGCGCCGAACATGTACTCGTTATGATTACTTTAACCGTAAAACAAATTCGTACTAAGGCCTCAGATCATACGATTACCTTCTTTAGCTACTGACGAACGAATAATAATAATAACATACACACGTAACATACTATTTGTTATGTATAATCTTTACACTTGGCCAGCAGCATCGAAAATTTCAACCGAAACCCATTGAAAGGACTGACTTATCCAAGAACATACCCAAGACCACAGACGATTTTTTTTTAAGTTTTTTACCTGTTTAATTATTTTTTACTTTAATTCCAGTGCCTAGTATTCGAAGACTCTCCTCATGGTGTCACAGCGGGCGTGAAGGCAGGCATGCAAACTGTCATGGTGCCGGACCCACACTTAGATAAAAAGTTAACAACACACGCCACTATCGTACTACCGAGCCTATCAAAATTCCAGCCCGAACTGTTTGGATTACCACCGTTCCAGAGTTGTTAAAAAAAATATGAAAAAAAAAAAATCTATCAATCGTGTGTGCAAGATTTGAACTTTATTCTAAGTTGATTTTAAATTCAAATATGAGTGGAACCTATAGTTTTTTTTTTATTTACAGAACATGGTATGTAGTAGTTGCCATTTGATACCTTTAACCTGTTCTAAGAGTGTGTACTTTTGAGTCAAATAAAATACTGTTGCTTCTCACACACTTCAATATTTGTAGAATGTATACTCAAACATTGGGCTTCCTACCAGTCCTGGAAACGAGCCTATAAGATAATAATTTACTTAGTTTAAATAAGTACTACCAGAGCATGAAAAAGTTCCCTATTTCTTAACATATTGTATAGAAATACACATATTTTTGAATGTAATATTCATGATGTTTTGTCAAGTACTGGCTAGTAGTACTTACAAAATATTTTTCATGGATAAGTAATAGATAACAAACTTACTCCAAACTGAATTTTAAAAAGAAAACAATATTTTGTACATTATGTAAGCTAATAATAAATAATTCAAAAACGAAAGTACAAAAATCGAGTTACACAAATCTTATGATCGAATATTAAGTGATTTTAAGTCAATTAATACCATTTTTTATACCTAGTACTTAATTTGTTAGATTTGTATTGCATGGTGAGCAATAAAGAGTTTACGGGTAGTAAAATATACCATCATTCAATAATTATTGTAATAGGTATATAGACAATAATGCCCTACAAAATAAAAGTAGTCTATAAGAGAGAAATATTTATAAACAATGTTTCATAAGGATTTATAAGAAACTGTCTTGTCCTAATCATAGAGTAACTTCTCTTTACAGATTTTACCGCCAATTTTTGGGGAGCCATTTTGATTTGTATGTCAGCAAACACTTGTAAAAGCGATTAGAGATAATAAAACAAATAAAACAATACAATCAGGGTTAAACTACCACATCAAGTGCTATTATAATGATTTTGTTAGGTGTTGTCATGTAGAATAACTATCTCATTTACACAAAAAACTGCCACAATTTACACATGTACTGCAATTATCTGCAGTAGGTAATCGTTGTTTGTTGATATTTTTAGTTTAATTTCTGTCAATAGTGCAATCATTGTAACATAGATGCCATCTACATTTATAAGTAATGTTGTTTATTTACAAAGTCTGGTAGATGTAGATGATTTTAAGCAATAAATTATTTGTATAAGAACTTTTTGTTTCATTTATGTTTTCTGTAGAAAATATTCCAAATGACACAGTTAGAAGTGGATAACAACGTCACCATTGAGTAAAATTTATCGCGAATTAAAAAGCAGCCATTTAGAAAATACCTAATATTATGTAACTCCTATGACTAGAAGCGGTAGACAAGGCAGAAAAGCATATAACATTCACATTTTGCCTATTGTAAGTTCCTTGTAATGAAAAAATTTCAGAGATAAATGTAACTTTTATGGAAAAAAGTGTAAGTCATAGGGGAACAACAAATGACACCATTTGCTATTAACTAATTATTTTTATTAACATAAATATAATATAACAACATAATTTATTTTACTAGCTGTTTGACAGCTGAGAGAACATTATCAGCGTTCTGGTCAGTGAGAGACATGCTGCGTTCTTCTCCTTTTTCTGAAAATAAATATTTGTATTAAACAAATCAATTAATTGGCTTAATTAATGCTCAATGAAAACTAATCAACATACAACTAAAAATGTAGTTATTTTAATGCAATAATACAAAAATTTCAAAAGTATAAACTACTAAACAAGTACTAATTAGATTCAAATACTTTCAGCCTACATTAATTCATATAACTGCTGAAATTGGTATCAGTCAACATTCAAATAGTAATATTATGGTATACTTTCTACAAAATTAGAATTATTGGAAATATAATATGCCATACTGGAAAGTAATAAATATAATAAACTTCAACGGGCCAAGCCTCTGACCAACGACAATACTTGTTCAGGACTCATGTCTACGAGCGAATGGCATGTTTCACATCCTTTACCTAGAAGTATTTAGTATTTATTAAATTAATTATGCCTTACTAATATCAAGTTTCATAAGACATAACTTTAAAACTTCAGTAACAATATCATATTTTACAATGTGTTTATTGTTGTTACTGGTTCAATCATATTGATGGTTGCTAGTCATTTTAAACAGCAGACTTCGATCAGTGGGTCAATTCGGGTCGAATTTTTAGATCCTAGCAAGGTACAGATTAGAAACAATAGTGTTGTGTATGTATAATGAGTACACAATCCGATTGAGACAGATGAGTACTTAAAGGTTTGTATTGAGAAGTTGTTAGGACTAGACTTACCATATCGAGCCCAGATTCGCGGCTGTACACCGCTGCACTCACGAATCAATATCGGGAAGCCAGGGTTGTCTTTTTTAAGGTTTACATAGTACTTTTGTATAAAGTTCCTGAAAATTAAATTGATATTTTTATTAACTTGTTTTAGGTTAAGAAACTGTTTATGTAATCAAAATTCTTACCTCACACCTTCAGAATGTTTGCTAGTTTGGCATAAATGAATCCTTAGTTCTTTAATGTAGTTTCCAAAGCGATACGACATTTTTTACGTAATTGAAATACGGTCCACACAAAAATCGAATCCTCACAAAATATCAGATTGACAATTATTATATTGACAATGACAATGACAACATACACAAATGTCACTTTGAATTCAATTGTAAAATTGCGTAAATTGAAACGTTGCAGAAATTAAACAGCACGAAATCAACGCTAAAGGCAAAATATTAAAAACTTAAATAAAGAAACATTTTTAAATGATAAATAATCTGACGAAGCATCTTATTAATTGACTACTCTAGTAATAGCACGGAGTCTGGAATTGTGCCCGGTATATGACAATCTATAGTCATGGTGGTCCGGAGGTTTAAGACGCCCGCTTCTCATGCATGAGGGTACGGGTTCGAAACCTACCAACGGCAAGTACCAATGTGACTTTTTCCGAGTAATATGTACTTTCAGACACCACTGACAAACGGTGAAGGAAAACATCGAGAGGAAACCTGTGCTTATAATTTCTAATTATAAGTTTGTAATCGCCAACCCGCATTCAGCGAGCGTGGTGATTAATGCTCAAATCTTCTCCGTGTGAGAAGAGGCTTTGCTCAGCAGTGGGCATTTAAAGGCTGTTGATGATGATGATGATGATATGACAATAGGTTTACCCCCTATTACATGGGACTCATAACATAAATAGTGAAAAGTGGTTGTTACATTGTACAATGGCATAATGTGCACCTCTGCCTACCCCTTCGGGGATAAAAGGCGTGATGTTATGTTATGTTATGAACAACAAGACCAAGCACCGTTTCTTGAATAAAAAACAGTCTCTAGCTACGAAATTCTAAATTAACAATATTTTATCGACTAATATGGAACGAACCAACAACATAATATTGAGTACTGGCTACTTTCATGCGGTTTCACTCGCTTTGCTCGGCTCCTATTGATTGTAGCGTGAAGTTTTAGCCTATAGCCTTCCTCGATAAATGGCCTATACTACACAAAAACAATTTTTAAAATCAGAACAGTAGTTCCTGAGATTATTCTAGCATAGCATTCAAACAAACAAACAAACTATTTAGCTTTACATTGATAGTATAAGATTACACACAAATCACTACATAGTATAAAACAAAGTCGCTTTCTCCGTCCCTATGTCCCTTTGTATACTTAAATCTTTGAAACTATGCAACGGATTTTGATGCGGTTTTTTTAATAGAGTGATTCTTATGGAAGGTTTATATGTATAATACATGCATATTGCACCCGTGCGAAGCCGGGGCGGGTCGCTAGTAGTATATAAAATGGTAAATGGGGTATATTACGCACCAGAAGAAAATATAAACTATTTATTTAACAATTTAATGTAATACTCAATACATCAATTTTATCTTTTGTACATTAAAAACTAAGTACCAAACACTTTTAATAATATGATTTCAATATTTTTTTTTTATGTTACGCTAGAAGCAACAGCATTTTTCTAGTCTGATTATTGAAATGAATTAATTATTTATTATCTATTTAAACTGACAAAGTTATTCTTTATTTTAGGCACAAACCATACAACATGTTATTTAGAATTCTTGTTATTTTCATCTTAATTTATGGTGGAGGGTAGTCGAGCATTTTAGGAGAATGGATGACAACAATATTTTTGTTATACTGTCATGGTATCATCACAATACCGTTATCCAACATCTGGACGATTTTCATGTTTTGATTCTATATTAATAAGAAAAAAAGCCCAATAGATCTGTTTTAGAAACCTTTAATAGTTCTATAATCTGTTTTCATCGAAAAATTCCATCGTTTAAAATTTTTGCCGCGGATTTTTTTGTGGTATTCAAAACAATGACTTTAGTAGACAACGGCATTGTAGTGACACCACGACAATATGTAGACAGTTACGTTTTACAATTCGAAAATGGACAACTACCCTCAGAGGCTTTAGACGAGTTTAATTTACGTTTAAAGTATTCGAAACGAGTATGCGTTCGGCACTCTGATTGGCCGGCACCAATGAAGCAACCAATCAGAGCGTCGAACGCGTACCGAACGTTATTTTTAACGTAAAATAAACTCGTACTAAGGCATCAGGACACCATAAAAAGGATTAATCGTAGAAAAGATTTGTTCGATCATAACCGACTGTCTTGTGCACAATCTAAACGTATAAAAACACCAGAAAGAGAAAGCAATATGAATTGTATTATTGCTCTCTTTTCCCCACAAAGAAGTTCAGTTAGTGTAAAGGACAATCGGCTTCAATATTTAAAATACATATACAATCATTCGTCTGCGGTCATTCATAAGCACAGTACACGCCACTCTAAATAAATAGATCACCAACCTTTTTACGTTTTTGTTTAACGACTAGTAAATTAATTAATAGCTTCGAAAATGAAAACCTGTGCAGCCTGCAATGTTCAGTTTCATGATGGCGTTCAATGCGGTAGTTGCAAGAAACACTTGGACTTTGGGTGTGCGAACATTTCGGAATCTGGGTGGAGGAAATTGGGTTCTGCTAGAATGGCCCAATGGAAATGTCCCATGTGCAGAAGCTCATCGCCAGCTGTATCCACCCCTGAACCTACATCTCTGGATACCATACTCGGTGAGATACGTGATATGAAACGTCAGTTGCTTAACTTACCAGCACTCGTAGAGGACATCCGAGCCATAAGGGATGAGTTGGCGGGACTCAAAATATCCTGTGAACGCGCTGGTGGGAGACTGGATGAATTTGAATCAAGACTCACGGAAGTGGAAGAAAAGGTTTCAAAAGTCGATAATCTTCATGAAACAGTAAACCGTTTGCAAACGGATTTGTCGAGCACCAAGTTTCTACAGTCAAGCAACGAACAACGTTCCAGATTGAACAACGTTGAGATTAAGGGGGTTCCAGTAAAGAAGGATGAAAATCTATTTTCTATCTTTGAAGCAATAGGAAAAAGGATCAACTACAACTGTCCAAAATCCCAGGTGAATTACATCTCAAGAGTTCCGATATTTAATTCAAACGAAAAGTTAATTATTGTAAGCTTTTTAAATCGATACGTGAAAGAGGATTTTGTTGCGGCGGCGCGTGCCAATAAGGATCTATCAACTTCAGATATTGGCTTTCAAGGTTCATCTCAGCGTGTGTATGTCAATGATCACCTTAGTATTGAATACAAGAAACTCCTAAGTAAGGTTAAATTAACTGCCAAGGATAAGCAGTATGAGTATGTATGGGTGAAGCATAGTAAAATACACGTACTTAAAAATAAATACTCTAAAGTAATTATTATAAGGAAGGACTCGGATTTAAACAAACTTATCTAATATGCTTCTTAAATTTAACCTTTCTATTTTGTTATTATACGTCGCTTCAATTCTCTCAATTCGCTAATAACGTATTCACCATACTAAAAACTTACAAACTGTTTGAAACCTCTGCCGCACTGGTACCTATACACTCGAATCCTCGTAATGATTTATGTTCAACTACCTGTGATCGGTATCGCGCTGTTTACTTTAAAGCGGCACGGCACCACTATCTGTCTTATTCTTTCGCACTTGCATGCACCGCGCACTGTTGCTTGCCTTTTTGCACAAATATTATTTATTTTATAACATCGATCAACTATTGCCCTCGCACAAATTTTACTAACTTTATTAAGAACTACCATCATAACACATATTATGTATTTATATTATACCTTAAATTGCAAAAATTTTTAATGGAACAATCTATTTTAATAGATTATGCAAATTTATACGCTATTACTGATAATAAATTCAATGACTCCTAAATTAAATATTTATTATCAAAACGTTCGCGGCCTTAGAACGAAAAGTGATACATTCTATCGTCAAATGTCACTAAACTCCTATGATGTTATTGTTCTTACAGAGACGTGGTTATTGGATGGAATCTTAAATTCTGAATTCTTTGACGAACGATACATTGTGTGGCGCCGGGATCGGGACTATGTTACTACCGGGCAGTCCCGTGGAGGGGGTGTACTTATCGCCACACGCAGAGAGCTTTCGGTTGTGTGCCAACCTACGTTCTATTCTACGGCGGAGGATCTATGGTTGAGCATACGTCTGAGGGAGTCGAATACGCGAAAATACACGAATCTACATATTTGTGTTGTCTATTTGTGTCAACAAAACTTGGGCCTTTCTTTTTCATTACAACTTTTAAACTACCTTACAAAATTAAATCAAATAGTCATAAGTGGCCCCACGGATGCTTTTCTTGTTGTTGGTGACTTCAACATGAGTAGTATTAATTGGGTGTTGTCCGAGAATCAATCTTTCGTTCCTATCAACCCAGTGGGTCATGACGAAATTATGCTTATTGATGAATTACATACCCTCGACCTTGGTCAATACAACGGTGTTCATAATCGATATGGCAAAATTCTAGATTTGGTACTTTCTAACCGATTAGTCGATGTGACCGAATGCCCAAGTCCGTTGGTTCCCATCGATGCTTACCACCCAGCACTTTTAATTGGTGTAAATTTCATTGCCCCTCTATTGGAATGCGCGACTCGGACACAGTTCTTATTCGACAAGGGTGACTACGAATCTATTAACAAAGAGATTAGTACAACCTGCTGGGAATCTGAGTTTGCGACACGATCAATTGATGATTCAGTAACTTTTTTCAATCAAAACATTATTAATTTACATTTAAAACATATCCCACAGAAATTACAACGTAAAAATGCATATCCAACTTGGTACAACTCATCATTGATTAATACAATTAAAGAAAAATATAAGTATTTAAAAAAATTTAAGACTTACGGCAACGTAGCTGATCAGTTAACATTTAAGCTTCTTCGTCAAAGGGTGAAGGAGTTGGAATCTGAGTGTTATAAGAACTACCTCATCTTAACCGAAAACTCAATCAAAGTAAACCCGAAGCACTTTTGGACCTTCGTTAAAAAAAGACACAACTCACATGCAATTCCTAGTACCCTAAATTACAACAATGAAATGTTGTGTACCGGAAACTCAATATGTGAGGCTTTCTCGAAATACTTCCAATCTACTTTTCTTGATACCAGTCCAACTTCTTATAGTGGGCGTTTCAATCCCTCAGCTGGACCTCCGGCTCTGTCCGATATTTGCAGTGTCGAGGTAAGCGAGGATGAGGTTTCCAGGTTACTTCGTAAACTGGATACATCTAAAGCAGCGGGCCCTGATAACATTTCATCCAAATTTCTTGTACGGTGTGTAACGTCAATTACCCGGCCCATTACTATTTTATTTAGGAAGTCTCTAGATTGTTGCATCGTGCCCAAACTTTGGAAATCGGCATTTATAACACCAATTCACAAAAAAGGAGTAAAAACTGAAATAATTAATTACAGACCAATTTCTAAACTATGTATCATAGCAAAAATCTTTGAAAGAATTATCTACAATCAGGTATATAGTGCGCTCAATAACTCCTTTAGTTCTTTCCAACACGGTTTTTTGAAGGGAAGGTCCACCGTCACTAACTTAATTCTTCTTAACGATTTCATTACTGATGCTATGGACAGGGGTGGGCAGGTCGATGTCGTTTATACAGACTACAGTAAAGCTTTTGATCGAATTCAACATGAAATATTATTATCTAAGATGGATAGTGTGGGAATACGTGGTGATCTACTCAGATGGTTTTCCTCGTATCTGAGAAACCGGTCCCAAGCAGTAGTATTAAGTAATTATATGTCTGGTTGGGTACCTGTCCCCAGTGGAGTCCCGCAGGGTTCTTTGCTAGGCCCATTACTCTTTATCATCTATATAAATGACATTGATTCGTGTCTGATCTCATCAAAGTTACTGTGTTTTGCCGATGATATGAAAATCTTTTCAAAAATATCATCACAGACCGATGTGGCTGCGTTACAGGTTGACCTGTGTCGACTGGAAGCTTACTGTCGTGAGTGTAGGCTGGATCTAAATCCCTCAAAATGTTCGGTGGTGACATATTCCCGAAAGCGCACTAATATAGTTGCATCATATACCTTGGGAGATCAAACACTTCCTAGATCAGATATCATCCGAGATCTGGGGGTTCATCATGACACTAAGCTCACTTTTGAGGCTCATGTTAATGCCATTGTTGCTAAAGCTTCAAAGTCATTGGGCTTCATTATGCGTCTATCTAAGTGCTTCACTCAATCAAAAACTTTAAAAATTCTATACTGCACTTTTGTTAGAAGTCACTTGGAATATGCGTCTGAAGTGTGGAACCCGTGTTATCACAAATACATTGATCGTATTGAAAATATCCAGAAGAAATTCATCAAGTATCTGTGCTATCACCAGGGTGTCCCATACCGGTCTGAAGATTACTACAGTCTCTGTAAGAAATATCACATCTTACCGCTTAAGGACCGCCGAGCAATAAGCGATTGCACCCTAATAATTAAAATCTTAACAAATAATATTGACAGTTCCGATATTCTAGCGAGATTGTTTCTCAATGTTCCTGGAAGGTCGAGGAGATGGTTTCCACCGCTACGTGTTCCATCCTCCTCTACCAATTATAGGCAAAACTCGTATTTTGTGCGTGCAATTAAGGAATTTAACAGCGTGTGCAAGCAGCATGATCTTGACCTTTTTAATATTAAAGTATCTACGGTCAGGAGGTGCCTGAGCCTTTCTTTTTTTTATTAATAACATAGGGAACGCGGTTGAACTAATATTATGCGAGGTAATCTGTCTGTATAGTGTTCAGATGTTTATTGGTATAGATTAGTGATTTAGTACTTTGTTTCTTTTTATTTTGTTATTATTTGTTTTTATTATTATAATAATTTTGTAGGGAGTACTGTGTCGACCACATTCTTTTATAGCATAAGTTTGTTTTTTATATGTGAAGACTTGTCATTGGCTGTCAGACTCTCACACAATGTCATAATTTTTGTTTTGTTAGCTGTTAGTCTTCCAAAGTTGTTAAATAAATAAATAAATAAATAAATAAATACGGTTTAATACTATATTTGTAAGGACAGCATTACAATTAAGTCCTGAAATTCAATAATCACAGATCACGCTCATATTGTAATATTAAAAAGTTTCTACACACCAACTTGAACCTTACTGATGAAAATATTAAGGTTAAAATCGTTAAGTCTAGGAGACAAAGGGAAGTAGGTTTTGGTCAGTACCAAATGCAGTTTAGAGTTAAGCAAAATTTTTAGGCGTGACGTCACTATTATATAATTTGAGTATTTTTTTTTGTAAAACTAAATGAAGTTTCTTACCATTTTTGCCTTTACTAGATGGCGCCTCTGTCGAGTAAGATCGTGTTAATCCAAAAACTATCTTAGCAAAGCAAGTGCAATAGCCTAATAGAATGGTTCTAAAAGTTTTTATACTAAGTTGTAACCCCAATTCAACCTTATTACATGGTAATAAGAGCTGATTTTGAAGTCACAATCTAAGATTCGACTTTCATACCAGTCAGAATATATACAGAGCGCGTCACGCAAAAATAGACTCTACGAAATATTATTTAAGGCTTAACTATGCACAGGTCACTTTGTAGCAATGGTGTACGGAACCAAGTGCTATTGGGCTCAGAGCAAAAGGACTCATATTATGAGGTTCATAGAAATTAACTTTGTATTAGAAATTTGGATAACATAGAACGTTTTATATTAATGAAAATATTTACGCCACTACTATGTAGCTGCATTTGGTTTGACCCTTTTAAAAAGAATTGGTACATTATCTACGATATTATTAAGAACGTATCGTAATTTCTAGTTTTAGAATATGTGTCATCCATATCAAGTAGGCAGGTTTAAGCAGTGGCTAGCTGGTCAAGATCCTCCTACAGGTTTTTCTGCATTGGATTTTCAACTGTATCGGGAAATAATAAAGTTGAAAGTCGAATAATGAAATTGGATAGAAGGTCGATCAGCCATTATCTGCACATTAAATGATACATGTTAAGTACCTAATCAAAACTCCTTGGTGTTATCATTTGAATAGCTCTTTAGTGGTTCCGATTTATATATTCGATTCAATAACGATTATTGGTCGTTTACACAGTACAAATGTTCTTATACCATTGTCAGTTAAATCTAGTCACTTCTTTACGTGTATCTATCGTCAAACTACTTAGTTAATGGTCAATTCCTCTGAGGTAGCAACCCTCCTGTGATGTGCACAGCTCTATATTATATTTTAAAGTGAACTAGACCTTAATTACCGTCTATATGACTTGGAATCTACTGCCAACCTCTAAACAATGCATAAACATTCTTCCAATGTGTTGCCCATGTAATTGTTACTTCAAGATTAACATACAACAATCCAGAATAGAAACTGATAGGAAATAGAACCTTATTGCACATTTATTCGTGTCAAAATTGCACTCCACCCGATATTAATTAAATAAAAATAAATTCACTTTAGGCATATAACACTTCGTGACAATTCCAACATCAAATAAATGAGCAAATAATTGAGTTAATATAATTATTATTGTTGAAATCAATATATCAGCATTACATTCATCTTGTCGAAATTGGGAAGCTAAAAAAACTAAAACAGAAAAATCTAAGCTTGTTATAATTAAAAAAAATGTAATATCATTAATGTGTATATACATATTTACATCTTAAATTTTAAACGGCATACTATTCTATAACGTAAGAAAACCAAGTTGAGAAATTCAGAAATATTTTTTGAAAAATTCTTATTATTATAAATAACTTTCGTTTATTGAACAAAAAACTCATCCTATTCATTTAGTTTGTTAAGACAGGTCAACAAGAATTTACCTAGCGGACGAAAAGTACGAGAGCTATATACAGTTGAGTGAAGATTAACTTATACATGGAAATTTCAATTGGCAAGAAACATTCTACCGTTGACTGCACTTAGTAAACTCTCGATCATAACCATAACTACAAACTATTGAAACTCGAACATGTTTCCGAATGACCCTCGCCGACTAGAGTTCCAGATTCAAAATTCACGATGCCAAATGAAATTCCCAGCAGTGTCCACTCTTGTCACGTCACGATTTAGTCAGCTACACAACTCGAAAACTATTAGGATAGCGAGCCACTCGACTGTACACAGCTCGAGACCGTAGAGCACGAAGCGGGAGAGTAGCAGCGCGGCATAAGTGCAGCAGGCGGCCATCTTGGATCGGGCCAAGGGGGCCTCGTGTGCGTGCTCGCGCGCCGTCTCTCGCCTGTGCGAGCTCAGCTAGCCGGACGCCGGCTCCATCGCTTTAACCGCGTCCGCGGTCAGACCCTGCTTCTGGCACCACTCCACGAAGTCGTCTATGAGCACTGGCCACGCGCCCTCCGCGTCGTAGTTGCTCATGCCATCGTCGATCTGTGTCGCGAAGTCTAACAGTAGATTCCATGTGTCTTTTGGTATGGATCTTTTATGGTGCTCCTGCAAAGCATTACATATAAACAGTTTATAAGTAATAATATAATAATAACATTATTAGATAAAATGAGTCTACTAGCAAGATTATTTTATTCACACACTTTAAATAGTTCACACTCAGTTCACTAGATGGCGCAGGTGTCATTTTCATTCAAACGAAAAAACTTCAAACACTTGTACTGTAAATTTTGCCTTTCTGAATTATGTCATTTTTTTATTTAAACGATGATATCTTACATTACTACTACTACTACTTACTTACCTCAACATTGTATTAATTGGAAGGGGAGACTACCTCTTTGGGTGAGTAACATATAAATGAGATTTTAGTGTCAAGAGATTTTATAGATTCGCTTCTCAAGATGGGCACGAAATTATGATATTTTTTATCAAAAAAAAAATAGTGAAGTACTTAGGTTTATAGCATGTAATATGTGGGTGTTACATAACTATATGCACCTCCTGCTTACCTCTATTGTGAATGAATAGCAAAACATTTAAAATGCAATGTTTATAAGATGAGGCCTGGAATGTTTGTGAAATGTGTGAACTAAACTGACCCCAATGTTAGATAATCTAGAACTGATGCCAAAAATATCAAGTACTGATATCTAGAAAAAAGATTTGCATTATTTATAAATAGGAATGAGTAATAAGGCCACTGTACCAATAAAATTGGGTAGTTTATAAACTGTAATAAACTGGGTGACTGGCAAAACTTTGTACTGACTTTTATTTTAGTAGTGGTTTCATAGTCTACCTGGTACCCATTGAATGGGGTGGTGTTTAAATCTATGTTATAACTATAGTTAACCACATTTTACAGGAGGAATTTCACCTTTACCTGAGTCATCATGCTGTCTAGTTATACTTGATAACTAAATCAAAGAGGTAGTCTCAAATAGTTTTGATGTCTCATTCTGTTGCATTACAGGTGCCAACTTGGCATATATTGAATAGTTTTAAAATAGACATTTGTTTTGTTTTCTTAGTAAATTAATGAATGGAGCCGAATTCATATAAGAATTTCACTGACAAAGTGTAATGTTAGATATAGAATGCATTTTCCACAGTTATGGGAAGCATATCTCTGTCTAATCACACCTTATCTTAATATAATTTAATAGATAGAGGAAAAGTTGTATTTATACATACCGTGAGAAATTTACACCAAGCATCTAGGAACTTAAACCTCCCACGGAGCACAATATTCCAATAGGCTATCGCCATGTCCAATTCTAGACCTTTTTGTCCCGGATTCTTAGCATAATTGAATGTAAAATGATAAAAGTCTTTGAATTTATTTTGATCTTTTATTTCTGTCTCCAGAGTCGCTAACTTTCCTTTTAATTTGTCTATGCTATCCACTCCAAGCTCTATGAGGCCAGTCATGAACTCTTCCTTCGTGAACTCACACTGCACAGCTGCTTTACACTTCCATGCTATAATAAGAACTAAAATTGACTCAGGACTTAAATTAAGGTCTTCTAAAAACTTCATAACACCATCAACAGTGATCTTGTCGTTCTCCTGTTGGTCTTTGTACTTTGTAAACAGTTGGTCGAGCTTCTTTCTGTCCACTGACGCCTTGACGGGGTCCTTGTAGTATGCTTCTGGGTTCTGAAAGTAGTTGTCGCTCGCCAAGTCTAGTTTCCAGTCATTTTGAGACAAACAGTATATTGCCGTGCTCTCACTCGTCTGTGTAAAAGCGACGAACTTTTTAACTTTGTCTCTCTGTGACGATTTTAATTTATTCTGTAAGAGAATCGTAAGAACGTCATATTTATAACCTTATTAGTGCTTACCTGTCATTAATTTTACGTATCAAAATTAATTCATGGATATAGTACAGTTTCATCTTTATTGAGTTTGATGAATATTTTAACACGATTACTCACCATTTTCGTGAATTTTTTATTGTTTCTAATGACTTTCACTGTTATTTCGACATCGGAACCAAAGTGAAATAACAATCATAGACAACTTTCTAATGTTGTTGTACATCAAATTAAAATTCCCAATTTCAATATTTTTGATGTGCCATGCTTAAAAATATTAGTAAACCTTTTATTTACTTTTTAATTTTTCAACAAAGACAGTCTCTTTGAAATACCAATAAGAATACCAATTCTAACAAGAAATTTATTCAAAACAGATAAGTTGTTGAGTTTTGCACGACAGTGCAGAGTTTTGCATATTTTTGTTGTTTTAGGTGAAAATATTTTGATACACCATCTAGAATACCTTGGAATCGAGGAAAAATCCAAATTATCAAATAGCAACATCGTAGCACAACATAATCATAGACAATAGTATTTTCGTTCTGAAATTACGTATATAGAAGTTTTATTCAACTCCATAAATATACAATTTTAAGATAAAAGATTAATACTTTTTTTTGACAAATAAACATAAATCAATAAAAAGAATAATTTTAAAGACACAAAAACATTTTGTATCCAAAGCGAATTTCTAAACGGTATTGTCAATAAATGAAACAGCTGATCGCAAAACATAACCTAAGAACAATTCTTATTGTATATAGTAATTTAAGTGAATAAAATCGTATTATGTGAATAAACTATTAGAAATGTGTTCTATATTAGTGAAGCGTTTGATTTACGTACCAAATCGTTATTTATTTAAGTGCATTAGTACGGAAAGTCCAAGAGTTAGATTTGCGCCGAGTCCTACAGGCTATTTGCATTTAGGAGGTTTACGCACTGCTTTATACAATTATTTGTTTGCTAAATCTCGCAATGGAACCTTTATACTACGTATAGAAGATACAGATCAGACAAGGAAAGTAGAAGGTTCTGTAGATGCATTGGTGAATGACTTGCAATGGGCGGGCATTGAATGTAACGAAGGACCAGGAATAAATGGGAAATACGGTCCTTATATACAGAGCGAAAGGTTGAATATTTATCAGTAAGTGAAGTTTCGTTCATAATATTTTATTTTTCTAATTAGTGTCTGATGAGCGAAAGGTTGAATATTTATCAGTAAGTGAAGTTTCATTCATAATATTTTATTTTTCTAATTAGTGTCTGATGAGCGAAAGGTTGAATATTTATCAGTAAGTGAAGTTTCATTCATAATATTTTATTTTTCTAATTAGTGTCTGATGAGCGAAAGGTTGAATATTTATCAGTAAGTGAAGTTTCATTCATAATATTTTATTTTTCTACGACACACAACAAAAATTTAGAAACACCGAAAAAAAGCCCATAGTGCGTCGCAGCGCAAAAGTTGTTATAGGTAGATAATAAGTAGTTGTTCTGGTCCAAAAGTCGGGTATAATAACAAAAATTAATTAAAAACTAAATTACATTTAAAAAATCGTCTTTTTCTCTTTTTTTGAAGACTATTATTTATATACATTCTAAAACCTCCTAAGTATAACAACCATTTCTCTGAAAATGGCATCAAAATCGGTTCAGCCATTCACGCGATAATAGTGCACTCACATATCTTCGAACAGGCAGTTCAAACTGAGAACCTCATGTTTTGAAGTTGGTCTAAAAATATTAGGAATTTGATAATGTAATTTAAGTGAGGGAGAGCCATGCTTCGGCACGAATGGGCTGGCTCAACCGGAGTGATACCACGGCATCACAGAAAACCGACGTGAAGCAACGTTTGCGTTGTGTTTCGTCGTGTGAGTGAGGTTACCGGAGGCCCAATTACCCTCCCCTTTCCCAATCTCCCTAATCCCTGAATCCCCAACGATCCTCAAACGCCTCTGGTGTTCCAGGTGTCCATGGGCGACGCCGATTGCTTACCATCAGATGATCCGTCTGCTCGTTTACCGGATTATGCAATAAAAAAGATGTATCTTTCCATACTTCAATAGCTTATGTTTAACAGTCGACATATAGTGTTTAAATGCTAATAATGAGGAATATATTGTTGGCTATTTTGTTTCAGAGAGTATATAACAAAACTCCTCGAGAATGGTTCAGCATACAAATGTTTCTGTACTGAGCGTAGACTGAACATATTACGCAGAGATGCACTAAAGTCACAAAGGATACCTAAATATGATAACCGATGTAGAAGTTTGTCTCCTGAGGACATAAAACAGAAGATGGATGCTGGCATTCCATATTGTATTCGATTCAAGGTTTGTAGAATATATGTTTATTAGAAAACTGACTGCCCGGTTGGCGCGGTGGCTGGGCAACTGGCTGCCGCGCAACGTGTCGAGGGTTCGAATCCCGCACGTAACAACTCTTTGTGTGATCCACAGATTGTTGTTCCGGGTCTGGGTGTCATGTGTATGTGAACTTGTACGTTTGTAAACGCACCCACGACACAGGAGTAAATCCTAGTGTGGGGCAATGTTTTAAAAATAAAAAGAAAAAAATTCCTAAGGGTAAGTTACTTTTGAATCCTCAAAAACGGTAGACAGGAACATGTTTATATTTATATTTTAGTATACACAATATGGTGGTGACTAGTTAGTCAAATTCAATACTTTTATTAAAACATCAAATACAATACTGTTCTATGAATTTTGTACGAAATACCATCTTATGACGTCATCATATTTTCACGTTAAATAGCACACTTATATATCTAAAAACAATGCTAGAATAAATCGAAAATTAAGTATATCGGCAAATCAAAGAATGAAAGTGTCAACTAATTTTTGATTTTTATTTTTATTTGGACTGAAAAATCAAAATAAATTATTTTTGACCCAGGAAACTACCCAATTATAAAATCGAAATCCAATAATGGTTTGCACTAACTGTGATTCGAATATTTTATTTAGCCCTTATTAAATCTAGCCCTTATTAAACTTATCAAATATTGCTTGACTATTTAAGTAATCCAACCTACTATTCATCAGTCACCATCAGGGCCATCTTAGACTGCGCTGGGCCACTGGGCACTCAATAATTTGGGGTCCTTTTGAAATGTTTATTTTTTTTAACATTGCCCCACACTAGGATTTTCTTCTATATCATGGGTGCATTTACAAACATACAAGTTCACATACATATGACACCCAGACCCGAAACAACGATTTGTAGATCACACAAAGATTTGCTCCGTGCAAGAATCGAACCCGCTACACGTTGTGGGGTAGCCGGTTGCCGCGTCAGTTTCGTCGTAGAAATCTACGTATACCGTCTGTGGACATTTATTACATTTTTGGTATCAAACTTTTGGTATTACACTTATGGTGTCTTGTGAATTACTGAGTTAAATTACTTTTGTTTGCAAGGTGTATTATATGATTGCTGAGTATTATTGATACTACAGAAATGACACTGCTTATGTTAACTTGTATGTATGCATTATAATCTATGTATTTTTTGGTCTACCTTGCAATAGTGATTGTGATTTCTATGTATTCATTATCGCATTTTGTTAAATAATAGGTTTACTAGTCCTTTGTTTTGCTAAATAAATTATTATTTTTCTTATTCTTTTTATCGGTCATTCGGGGTCCCCTGAGAACAGGGGGCCCTTATGGTAAAGACGATATTGATCACCATCACTTTTATTTTCTCCAGCTAACATCAGACTGCCAGTACTTTGAAGATCTAATATTCGGCAGTATAGCATACGACGTGTCTCTAAACGAAGGGGACCCAGTGCTAATGAAGAGTGATGGTTACCCAACATACCACTTCGCCAACGTGGTGGACGACCATTTGATGGATATCACTCATGTGTTGCGAGGCGTAGAGTGGCAGATCTCTACTACCAAGCATTTGCTGATTTATATGTAAGTCATGTAACAGAGTTATACCTTATATTCCCTTATTCTATTACTGTCAGCCTCGTTGGCCGAGTGGTCGCAAGTGCGACTGCCGGGCAAGGGGTCTCGGGTTCGATTCCCGGGTCGGGCAAAGAATTGCTGGGTTTTTAAAAATCTCAGTAGTAGCACGGAGTCTGTAATTGTGCCTGGTATATGGCAATAGGCTCACCCCCTATTACATGGGACTCATAACATAAATACATGTTACATTGTACAGTGGCATAATGTGCACTTCTGTCTACCCCTTCGGGGATAAAAGGCGTGATGTTATGTTATATGTTATGTCATTTACTATTTTTAAAATATGTCGTGGGTGCGTTTACAAACATACAATTTCACATACACATGAACACCCAATTTTCACTATTTATGTTATGGATCCCATGTAATAGGAGATGAGCCTATTGCCATATACCGGGCACAATTCCAGACTCCGTGCTACTACTGAGATTTTTTTAAACCTAGTAATACTTGGCCAATCCGGGAATCGAACCCGAGACCCCTTGCCCGGCAGTCGCACTTGCGACCACTCGGCCAACGAGGCAGAAATAAACGAATAAAGATAAATGTCAAAGAAGTTTAGTATCACACAGCTACACATCGAGCTTTACATAACCAGTATAAACTGAACGTTAAATGTGCGGAAAGATGATGCGACGCGACACCAGGATAAAACTGGTTTTGTATAGATTGATGTGTGGCCGTATGTACATACATGATGAAATTATTTGTTTACAGGGCGTTCGGTTGGAAGCCGCCGCAGTTCGGCCACATGCCGCTGATAGTGAATGCGGACGGTACTAAACTCAGCAAGAGGCAGAGTGACGTCAAAGTTGAAGACTATAGAACCAATGGTATTTTGAATTTATTACATATTTATTATCCAATATCAATATTCATGTATCATACGTATAAACCTCCATTAAGAATTACTCTATCTATTAAAATCCGTTGCGTAGTTTTAAAGATCTAAGCATACATAGGGACAGAGAGACGGCGGATAGTGACTTTGTTTCATACTAGTGTTTTTTTTTAAAACTTTGCCCCACACTAGGATTTTGTCCTGTGTCGTGAGTGCGTTTACAAACATACAATTTCACATACACACACCCAGACCCGAAACAACAATTTATGGATCACACAAAGAGTTGTTCCGTGCGGGAATCGAACCCGCGACACGTTGCACGGCAGCCGGTTGCCCAGCCACCGCACCAACCGTGCAGTTTAATATTAGTCTCCTTTTATTTACCCCTTTAAGATACTAAATACATGTAATTTTCGCTATTCAGATTTCTAAGAATACTTTACTTTTATTAGTTGTGATATTGTTATTTTTCAGGTATATTCCCGCTGGCGCTAGTGAACTACATAACTTTGTCTGGCGGTGGGTTCGAGCACGTGCCGGGGGCAGGCCTCAGACTCAAGACTATGGAAGAATTGGCTGGAGAGGTACCTAAGAACTTACATATTACTGATTTCTTCGCACATATTATTTTTATGATTATAACTTTGGCATTGGCATGGAGTCTGGATTTGTGCCCGGTATATGGCAATAGGCTCACCCCCTATTACATGGGACTTATAGTAAAAAGTGGGTGTTACATTGTACAGTGGTACAATGTACACCTCTGCCTACCCCTTCGGGGATAAAAGGCGTGATGTTATGTTATGAAAGTTTGGCTTAGCAAATAAAATAAATGTTCTTATTCGCTTACCAACTAGCGACGACGCGAATATCATATTCATAAATAGGCATGTTTTAATTTACAGTTCCAGATTGACAAAATATCATCACACCCAAGTCGACTAAACCCCGACCTACTAGAAGAAAGCAATCGCTTAGAAATTAAACGGAGACTAAAAGACGAAGATGAAGCAAAAAGCCTAGTATCCAATCTACAAGAATTAATAACTAAAACTTATCCGGAACACAAACACAATTTGAATTTGACAGAGGGACATGTTAAATCCATTTTGAACTGGTCAGCATCACGAATTTCAAGAATAGAAGAATTATCTTCTAAAAAATATGGTTTTCTATGGATTTTGCCTAAGAGTACTGCAAAGGTTGACCAGGAACTTTTAAAGAAATTGGTAGATAATTTGGAAGGATTGGAGAAGTTTGACCAGGGTAGTCTAAAGGAGAGTTTGAGGAGTTTCTCTGCGCAGAATGATGTGAAGTTTCCGGCTCTGATGAAGATGCTGCGGTCGGTTATAAGTGGGTTGGATGAAGGACCAGGAGTCGCGGAGATGATGGATTTGTTGGGCAAGACACAGTCGTTAGAGAGAATTAAAGCTGTTGTACGATAAGTATGTTATTTTATTTAATACTAGCTTCTGCCCGCGACTTCGTATGCGCAATCCATCCCATCATCAATTTTCTCCCGTTCCCATAAGATTTTCAGGATTATTTTTCTATCATAAGAACCTTCTTCTGACAATAACAAACTTAACAAAAAATCAGCCAAATCGGTCCAGCCGTTCTGAAGTTATGGCGTGACATCGGGAAACGGATTTCATTTTTATATTTGTAGATTTATTCTTTATAGGTCTATTGGTATCAACAAAGATTACGGCCCAACTGATGGTAGTCAGATGCCGTAGTTTGTACAACTGCAACCAGATGTATCACAAGTGTACAGGGGAGTGCGTTGGGAACTCCTTTATTGCCATAAAGACTCAAGGTCGAACACACTCAATTAAATATTCGACTCAAAGGACCAAAAAAATGTCCCGGAGAACATACCGGGTTACCGGAGCTCCGGCTCGACGTGCAGGAGAAGGAACGGGGTGGTTTTTAGTCAGTAAGAGTCTGACACTCCCTTCCGCCCCGCCTCACCCAGGCGGGAGCAGTTATTTGATGATTTTCCCCCCTTTAAAAAAAGGACCAAAAATATTTTCATGGCAAAGTTGAAAATACAAACACTCGTAAAATAAAAACATTAAATCTTAATCCAATGAATGCAGTGCAAAAGTTGGACACTTTATAGTCCATTATGAGAGTAAACCCCGTAATAAAATGCGTCTGATTCTTTCGTCGTGATGTACAATATTTTACAGAAGGCTGTAAAATGTGGTTATTAGGGCATTGAATAGTGAGTTTCATTATTATGACCTACTTTTTAAAAGAGCGGACGTAATGTCACTTAAAATGATTGAAGCATCAAAATGTCAGTGGTGTATACACATATGTGTGCGTGTACTTGCAACACCGTAATGTATGAAGTGCTATGACAGGCCAAGTGACGCGACAGATGTCCTTCGTGTCAATGTGTGCGGATTCTGCGTGTAAGTCTATAGTAGCCAGGTGCCACAGTCGTTGTTGTAAGAGACTGTGTTCGTCTTTCAAAGTACTTGTACGTGACACCAATGGGAGTAGGTTCCTTGTGTACGGGTTGTGAAAATCCTAAACTTATTAAACTCTCCAGCCCACCTGGAGATTTAGGCAAACAACAGTCTCTTATGTGGAAGAAAGCCTATATTCTGTCACGAATAGTTGATAACTAAGTATGGAAGTGCAAGTGCACTTTGACATTTAACCTCTCGCGCGCCTCTCGTACACACTGGTAAATATTTTAATAGAAAAGCGAATTAACTAATCAAATGAAGAACGGGTTGCAAACTTGAAAATATACGTCACAGAAAAAATATCCAATCGGTGCGCGTTTCTCGTACACCCGTGTGTACAATTGCGCGATGGGCACTCAACTCTCTCGTACACCCGTGTGTACGAGAAACACGCGAGAGGTTCCGGTACCTAATAATAAACAATACGGCCTACTTACCTCTTAAAAGAATATTTTTATTTTCTCGAACATTCGCCCTTCAATCTCCAACCAACAACACAAACACACAGGACACAACACTATTATAAGGCCGATCACTACTGAGTAGTGTTCGATAGCTAGTAGTAATCTCGTGTCGTGGTAGCCCGGAGGTTAAAACGCCCGCTTCTCATGTATGAAGGTGCGGCTTCGGACGGAACCTACCAACAGCAAGTACCAATGTGACTTTTTCCGTGTGATTATTTAGACTCCACTGGCAAACGGTGAAGGAAAACATCGTGAGGAAACCTGGACTTATAATTTCTAGTTATAAGTTTAAAAACTCCAACTCGCAATGAGCAAGCGTTGTGATTAATGTTCAAACCTTCTCCGTGTGAGAAGAGGCTTTGCTCAGCAGTGGCCACTTATAGGCTTTTGATGACTACTGAGCATTTCCGATTATTACTGAGTATTTTTGGAAATACAAAACCTATCGATTGAGGTTTTGCCGCAGAGAACTTAACGGGTTACCGGAGCTTCGGCTCAAAGTGCAGGAGTAGGAACGGAGTGATTTTTAGTCAGTAAGAGTCTGACACTCCCTTCCGCCTCACATAGGCGGGAGGCGTCATTCGATGATGTTCCCCCCTTAAAAAAACACATTGAGGTTTTGGCTGACGGCCACTCTCAACTCGATAACCTATCTATGATGGGAGTTTTAAGAATGTTATTATAACAGGAGATTTCACCGCGTAGATATGACGATACCAAAGAGAATATAACTTGTCTAGAGCTAGACATCTTATTTTTAATTTTTTGTATCATGTTATGAAACGATAAAATAACAAATACCTTTAAATTAGGGTGAGTAGTTTATACTCCGGCTACCTCTACTCATAGCCTTATGTAGGTTCCCGCGCCCCTTGTCATACATAAACATAGTAAACGTCTGCTTCAGATGGGGCCCAGGCCCAGCAGGGCTGATGCTGATGCTGAGCTCGAAGAGCAGGAGTAGGAACGGGATGGTTTTTAGTCTGTAAGAGTCTGACACTCCCTCTCGCCTCTCCCAAGGCAGAGGAAGCCATTGGATGATCCCCCCTCAAAAAAGTACACGTCTGCATATATTTTTGGGTATTAAAAGCGTGATTGTAGGCTCGTGAAAAATAGAATCATTAATTCATAGGTGTTTCTAGTATCTATCCAATTAGTAGATAATTTTAATTATTTTAGCTATGTGCGTATTCGGACTAATTTAGGCAATCAGTTTAATTAAAACGTTAACTACCTACCTAGCACTATTAATTTTTTGCACTCATTAAAAGTTTATCTAATTAATGTTTATCACTATAATGAAATTAGTCTACATATGTAAATTAATAGGATTAGGTGTAACTACTAATCATGTGGGTACAGTCAGGTCAAATAGTAGGTAAGTAGGTAACACAAAAAAAACAATATAACGATACGAATACTTATTTTAAACAACCTTCTTGTTATTATCCTACTAATAAAAGTTTGTACTCCTTCACTGATTTGGAATGACACGTAAATACGCCACTTTTTATTCCATGAGGACGCGGGCAAAGCCGCTGGCAGTGGGCTAGTGGGTCATATAAGCACCCTGGAAGTGTAAATAGTTACCAGTACCGACCTTCTGGATCTATACTTGTTTCCATGATCTCTCATGATCGATACATGTAAGTTTATATAGGGACTAGCTACTTCCGCGCGGTTTCACACGCTCTGCTCAGCTCCTATTGGTTGTACCGTGATGTTTTATAGCCATCCTCGATAAATGTGCTATCCAACAAAAAAATAATTATTCAAATCAGACTTGTAGTTACAGAGCGCGTTCAAACAAACAAACAAAAAAACAAACTCTTCCGCTTTATATAATGGTATAAGATTTATTTTATGCAAGTCTATACTATTATTTTTATGTATTTCTCTTAGTCATTGTTCTTGAATACGCTTGCTTCTTGCATTGACCATTGTTTTTGTCTCTGCTTCAACCAAAGATCTGGCTGGAGGATAATGCCCATGTCATTAAGCCCACCTTGTGTATGAAGTATCCTTTATTTTAATAAATATACGATACGATACGAGCTGTATAGCATTTTTTACATAAAATAAAACCAACAAATTATGAGTAACAGTATAATTTATTGAATTCCCAAATATAAATATTGAGAGAAAATATCGAGGTCGATTCTGAGTTACAAACTTCATAAACGGGCATATCAAACCCACCACTAGAACTTTCGTCAGACAAACTTTAATACATAGAACACTTTGTAGGTTACACATCAAAATATAGCAAAATAAGAACTTAGGACTTCATATGTGTAGTAGTAGGTATGTTATATATTTTAATATGAATTCATTTGAATAAAATCTGAAAGAATAAAGTCGATAAAAATTTAAATTGCACATGTTGTAGTGTTGATAATATTCTAGTGTAACTGACTGTACCGTTGCAACCGTCGAACTTAATCATACACGTGCCAATGTCACTTAATTAACAAATATTATAATAATCATTTTACCATTATTAAATGCCCGCGGACGAAAGGACCAAAATGTTATGAAGGAAGATGTGCAACCTATCACATTTGAAATCAATTTACACCAACGACAAATATTGAATTAACAAATTAACTTAAAATACTTTGAGCAAAATTTTATAAGTAAACTAAAATAACTACAAAAAATAAGCAAACTTCATGTAAAAATGCAAATATGTTGTTGCAGATCATAATTGTGTTTCATTCATATTACACGACTACGCTGCTACGAAATCTAGCGTAGCATACAAGATAGCTACTACACTTCTATGCAGACTTCGTAGCAGGGTAGTAGCGTAGTAGTTATTATTTTGTTGATCATATAAATAATAAGCAAGTCGTAAAATAAATACTTTATGAGCGGCATATATGAACAGTGGCCTTAGTAAGAGCTTGTTTTACGTTAAAAGTAATCGTAACGGGTACGCGTTCGGCACTGTGATTGGATGCTTCATTGGCGCCGGCCAATCAGGGTGCCGAACGCATACTAGTTTTGAATACTTTAAACGTAAATCAAACTTGTACTAAGGCCCCTGTATACGTACTTAAAGTGATCTTCAGTAAAAAAAATGACTTCATTGCTTCTCCTATTTCATTTATCAACATCAAATCTGCAACAACATTTATTACAAACATAATCATTGAACACAACAGTATTAAAACATCACAAACAAAACGAAACAAACGCACTTATTTATATAAATACTTACATAAAATTTGGTCTTCTTTACCTAATTGATGCCGTTCGTATACAATCCATTATTATGCAAATAATATCTAAATGAGTTCAATATAATTAGTAGCATTTTTATGATAAACTTTATAAATGAGTTATTGAGGATTTTAGTTTTTTTTTTCGTAGTGGATCAAAGGACCAGATTTATTTACCTATAGTTGAGTTTAGCAAGTATTTTTTCTTATAAGTACCTATTTCGGTAATTCCGTAAAATTAAAATTCTTAATATAAAATTTATCATGAAATTGC